GCCGCCCCCTCTAGGGGGCGAGAAAGTACTCGTGTCAAACCACTGCCAATGTTCATACACTCGCGCATTCCCGGTCGTCCCTCACCACTCACATCTGGGCAATTTGCGTCGTGCTGCGTCGCCTCCTCGCCCGCCTGCCCTTGTGGCGCATCCCCGGGCGTCTGCGCGGGAGCTGGCGCGGCCGGCTGTCGCCTTTCGCGCTCCGCGAGGAGACGCCTGGCCAGCGGCAGGCAGAGGTGCGGATGATGTTCCCACAGACCCCACTTCCGCCTCTTCGGCATGCGCCGGCGGAGTTCGACGATCCAGTCCACCTGCTCCTGCGTGAATGGCACATGCCACCACGCAGCCGCCCTGCCCGAGGGTGGTGGTGGTGCTGCATCGCTGCCGGTGGTAGGGGCTGGCAGTGTCTGGTCGGGTGCGGCGGCCGGGGCTGGGGGGGGCGACTGCGACGTTGCTGGCGGCTGGGGCTGGCAGCGGCTGGTCGGGCGCGGCGGCCGGGACGGGCACCGCAGCTGCATCGGCGCCAACCGCTGGGGCTGCGGGCGGCAGGGCGGGCGCGGCATCCGAGTCTTCTGTCGGCGCCAGAGGGTTCGCGAAGCTGACGGACAGCACTGCGCGGGCGCAGTGGCGTGGCCAATTTCCCTTTACCCCTAGCTCCAGCTTGGCGTTCTGCTGGAGATGGCAGAGGAGCTCCCTCTTGTAGTAGGTGGCCGTCGCCGTAGCCAGGTCCCCCGCCGCCTCGTGGACAAAGGAGCCGATGTACTCCATGTCGGGCGGCCGGAGGTCGACACCAGCCCGCTCGAGTGTCTGCTGGAAGCGGGCGACGGAGTCGGCCAGTGGCGAGAACGCCGCCTTCGCCCCAGTGCCCGCCCTTCCGCCAGCTGCCTCGCGAGGTCGCCAAATGAGCGTCAGGCATCTGCGCCGTGGGTGGGTGGGTAAATGGGTGGGTGGTTGTTGGCAGCTGCTCTGCCGCGCATGCCGCTGCAACCTGTCTGTGGCAACGTGTACCAGACAGCTTCATGCCTTGCTGATCAAACCAGCAGACACTACGAGCAGTCATGGGACCCTCCTTCCTCTATCAAACAAGGAAACCACAGCACCGGTGTGCCTACAACTCACCCACATCCCAAACCTCTCTGATCGTCAACACACGAGGCCCACCTGTAAAAAAAATTCTTGTCAAGTGGTTGCAGTGCCGCATCCGCATCCGCCCGGCCAGCCTGCTTTCGCCGCTCAAACTCCTCCACCATACGGATGGCGTGGAAGTTGGCAAACAGGTCGCGGGCGGTGCGCAACTCGGTGACGACGGCCACGACATCGTCCACTGTCGGTCGAAGCGCATCCAACACGCACTGCTGCTGCTGCCCCATCTGCTTCATCTCCTTCTTCATCGTCTCCTTCTTCGTCTTCTTCTTCGGAAGATCCCGGAAGCCGTTCCAGGTCGTCTTGATGGAGGTTGTTGCGTAGTCGTCGATCACCTACAGTTTGTGATAGCGCGGGCGCAGGGTGTCGATAGGTGTGTGTGTCTGGGTGTCTCGATCAGCAGAGCCACGCATGCTTGGGACACTCCAGTGGCCCCCGGAGGCCCCCCCTCCGAAGTGGCACACCAAGTCCTCACACACCTTCCCGAATCGGCCTAGCGTGCCCGCCTCGCCGGGCGCCGTCCGCCACTCGTTCACCGTGGCGTCGTTTTGCGCCTGTTGTTCCCTCTTCTCCGCATCGTCCAGCTTGTTGACCACGCCGAGAGGCACAGGGGGT